TTGTATTGAAGGCGACAGTGTTTCTTGATGACCTTCGACGCAAAAAATTTGGTCTGGCTATTTGTCCGCACGTTTGTCTGTTTGCCCACTCTTAACGGTACTCTAAATGACGTCAAAATTAAAAAGCGATGCTCCAAACGGCGGTTCAGCCTTCATGCTCGTGCTATTGTCAATTAAAAAGCAAATATTGCGCATATTTGAGGCACCTTAACAACACGTCAATAATATCTATGTGTATTTTTTACTAAAAAAGGCATACATGAGTAATTCTAAGGACCGCAGCGTTCATCACGCTCTACTGACCATGTAACGCTTGCACGAAAAGGCAAGTGTTTCGATCGCTTTGCTAAGACGACACGATGGTGGCACCTACCCGTCGCCTTGCATTCTACACCTTAACACCTCAGAGACGGGCTCGCACGTCGCGCGCTTCGTTTTCCAGGATAACTGCCAGATAGCGCTCATGTATTACGTGTGACGTGACTTGATGCGCTTGTTCGCCTCCGATTCACGCTCGAGGCACTATAACGCAGTGCCTCCAGAATAGCATTCACCGATTTTCTTGCGCAGAACTTCAAATAAACGTTTTGTTCACTCTCTCCAGACGCCAGACTATCGTCTTTCGACGATACTTGCAGTGTAACACGCAGATACGGGGCAAAATTTTTTCAACGTCAGTTGTGACGAATGGACGTCAGCGGAGTTGAGGTGGACACCAGAATAAAACTTTTGTATTAAAATTATATTTAGTCGACGAGTTGTTCCTTAAATCTTTCAACATAACTGTAAGGACATCTTTTTACTTTTCCGCATGACAGAGAAAGGCCTCTGTCATGTATCGGCAATCAACAAAGCCCATGAAAATGCTTCGACCTTATTCTCAACTGCTCGCCTACGTTTCTATCTTCCTCCGTGCCAAGCTCTTCCCACTATCTTCGTCTCCTCGAATCGTCAGAGCAACTAGACGTATGGACATTTCAAGTTTCACTATAATATATCCGAACTAAGAGATTGCAATAATACGAACCTATAAGTGTCTGTTTTGCTGTAACGACGTAAATTCTGGTCTGCCGCGTAGTAACAAGCGTCACTGAAAATTAACAGACCATTTAAAGTTGAACACGAGAGCAGAATCTTGACCCTGTAGTGCGTACTTCATCAACTGAGTGCATACATTGTTATTGTATAATAAAGCCTAAACTGTGAATTACTATAATTTTATAATGCGACGTTGACTTCCCTTTAAAGCACAATATTTTTGCGTTTATGTGTATTAAGTGTGTGCCGTTAGGCCAATATTGTGTAATGATTGATACGTGGGGTTTAACGTCCCAAAACCACCTTATGATTATGAGAGACGCCGTAGTGGAGAGCTCCGGAAATTTCGACCACCTGGGGTTCTTTAACGTGCACCCAAATATGAGCACACGGGCCTACAACATTTCCGCCTCCATCGGCTCCATCGGAAATGCAGCCGCCGCAGCCGGGATTTGAACCCGCGACCTGCGGGTCAGCAGCCGAGTACCTTAGCCACTAGACCACCGCGGCGGGGCGGCCGATATTGTGTATGAAGTAGTGTCATGTGGAATGCGTTGTCATATATCCAGCGATTGTAACTGGTTGTGTCGCTGTAGCAAAGGACAACTTGAAGGAGGTGACGGGTGCGTTCCGGCTGTAACCCTTGACATGTCCATATAAGGTGGTATGTATCTACTTGCATCACTGAAGTGGTACAATGCGCACACGTATCACCAACTGGTAAATGCGACCAGTTTCCTGATGTTATAACAGCGAGTGTAAGGGCCACCCCTGCTTGAAGTCTCTTAAGCACAGCTTCCGGCACCCTAGTAAGGTGTGGGGAGAGAGAGCAGACACACGGTGGAATAAGAGCACGCGTATCCTGCCCAAAAACATTTTATGGGTGTGGAGTTAGTTTTAGGGCTGACGTAGAAGGTGAATAGCTTGAAGGTCTATATCAGGAGGGCAGTGCGCCTGCTGGTCATTAGCAACATTGTGTGAGTTCGCTGCATAGCTTTGAATTCAATGTATTTTGACGCAAGTAGTTCTATTGTGGTTAATGTTATAAATATAAGTTGAATGAGGCTTGTGTAAGCTATTGCGTATGCCGGCATTTTGTGTGACGAGTAGCATGCTTTGAACTCGCTAATTCACAGTCTTAGTTGGACATCAGCAATAGGTTGGTGGGCGCAGACTGTTGTTGGAAATGGCTGGCAGCCTATTCCCGCATTGGCATGCCACTGCCACAGTAACAGCCTGCAAACACTACACTTCTCTGTGCTATACCAAGATTGTTTGTTGGCCTAGTTGGTACTTGCCTACTGACATATTTTAGCCGAAAAATAACATCAACAGATCAAAGAAACAGCCAGCGACGAGGACAGACGGGACTTGCATATAAATTAGGCTGAGCGCAAACCCAGAAATAAATGTACATCATACATACATACGCAGCCCTCTCGTAGCATCATGCTATCCAGCTAGATTCAGTGACTCGAAGCTGAGAGCTTCCCTCACTGGTTATTGACAGCTGTCTCAGAAGTGCTCTTGCAGAAAGGGAAGAGTGAAGACACTATAGCTTCACGGGGAAAGAAGAAACCAAAACTGTAAGACCTACAGTGATTTCTTATGTTCATAAGGTCTCCCATATCGTGAAAAAATTGTAGAAGGCCGGTATGAGGTAGTCGTGGCCTTTTCCACACCTGTGTAATTGGCTCAGTTTTGCGAGAGAACTGCTCGAGAGGAGGTGAACTGGCAGGGATGCGGCAAGAAACGTAGCAAGCCGTACGGAAAATCTCCCGAACGTGACTTGTTTTACCCTCCCATTTTTCGTGGCAACTCGCGCGACGGGCAGACCAGGCGCTGTATTAGTGAACGATCAAGGGAGCATGCATTAAATTTAATGATGGATGACTTGGCACATTTGCCTATCCATTGCAAAACCTGAGCTTGTCAACCACGTTTCAAGGAGACCGAGACTCAAGGCATAATTAGGTATCAAACTGCGCATGAGTTGACGGAAACCTATAAGATAAAAAGGGCAGGGGAAAGGTGTATTAGCCGCACGTCGGTGACGTTTTAGGTATCGAAAAAAACATTGATAGCTGGATAGTGTAAGGCTGTGTGATGACTGCACATGTATGTTTACTTCTGGGCTTGTTGTGCTTACTCTAATTTAGTTGGAAGTGCCATCTGCCTCGTCGTTGTGTGCTTCTTCGATCTGTGCTTGCGTTACATCGCTGCTGAATTGTCACGAAGCCGGGCTATACGTGTTCATTATTCGATTGTATTATGCAACTGTGAGAAGTTTGACATGGTGCATCTTCGGGGATGAATACTCTATGAAAGTACTTTTCAGAAGACTTCGACTTCACAAAAGAGAAAAAATAATCAAAACCGTGAGGTCTGCAAGAATTCGCTGCACACGAAACAGCGCGTGCTGATAGAGCGGCCTTTTTAGAGCCTGTCTTGCAAATTCGTCGGGCAATTCCTACAACTACGCTTGTTTTCTGCCATTCAAAACATAAATCATACTTTTTCTGAAGTAGAGCAGCGTGAACTGCTAAGTTAGTAAGCGTCGTTCATCGGAGAAGCCTGGTACCTGCTACACACCTGTAAGTCTGTATGTGTACGCTGCTGATGCCGTGGCTGAAGGCAATGAAAAATTCTGCTCGAGTCTTTTTTAGTGAGTAGGCAGCATTCAATGACCTATTCGTTACGCAGGTCACAACGTGTGACGCCAAGTTGTGGCTTTCCTTTCGTATGATGCTATGTCGCATCCCGATTCTTTAACCAACGTGAAGTTTGCATCGTGTCAATTTGCAGCTTAGTTACACACACAAGGTTGGCTCTCTCCTAGGCTATTGGGCTGCCACGCAGAGGGCCCGGTTTGGAGTCCCATTTTATCCTGGCTAGGCTTATTTGTTTGCTTTCTTTTTTTAGTTATTTTAAAATGTAATTCAATAACGGTTATGCACACTGGCAAATTCAGTCTTATTGCGATTTCATACCAGGCTCCACGGTGAAAGCATCACGTATTTAGCTAAAGCTAGCTTCAGGGGAGAATTTCAGAAGCCCATGTCGGCTTCAAGACCTTCCATGTTACCTCTATGTTTCAAGCACGAATGCTGCCAGTTTCTAAAACGAGCCACACTGCCTGTACTTTTATGGATGCAGCCATGTAAGTCTACCATAGCTTGCAACAGTTCCAAAGCTACACGTAAAGGAGCTGAAAGTTCCTGAGGTGAAAGTTCCTGTTGCTCAAGTTTAAGAACTACTGTTTTTTTGTCCCAGCAATATTACCAAACAACCATAAAAACCACGTTATTATAATATTTCATACTTCCGTATTTAGAAAAGCAATTAGGCGATTCATTTTCATTATTATTTGACATTGATGACTACAGGTTAAATATTTGCGTCTTTTACCGCAACTAAACTTATCATGCAGCGGTAAAATAGGGCATGAACGCAATTTTTAATATGGTCAGGCGGTCGTAGCAGTAAGCACGTGCTACGAAGGTTGCATTTATATTTACACTGCACTGCACAACGTCCTGAACGCAAGCAAGGTTGGAGCCAGTTGCAGATAGCATACCGGCTGTATATTAAAGGAGGAGGAATAAATTTTATTGAGAACAAACAGTCTGATTGGCAAGGCCTAAGCCTCCCACTGGAGACGTTGAGGTGTTTCTAGCTGCAACAGCAAGCAGGGCTCTTTTTGCATATACAAAAAAGTAACAATAAGTATTTCCGCCACGTGCGCACATTTAATTAAATGTAGAAGAATAAAATCTGCAGTTTCTATTGCTGCTTTCGAGGTCTTGCACAATGTAGGTCGGTGCTATGAGTGTAACTCCTGCACTACATTTCGCATCTGTATTAGTTCTTACTCAATGTTACCAGACCCTTGTGCCAGCTGCGAATTAACCAGTAAAAAAGCAAAAAGAAAGGAGACGTAACGAGCAAGACAGCTTCAAAAAGCGAGCGTACGAGGCAACGATACTCCACTGTGCCCTTTCTGCATCTCGCAGCTGACGTTGAGCAGGCACTCTGTTTATTCGGCGCACAGTTCCTCTCTACAAGTTAATGCTGCCTGGGTATAAAATGAATCCTTCAACAGTTATCATGCTTCTTTCGCTAGCAGCGACTGTCCTTCTAGGAGAAGGTCAAGATTTACCTGAAAGACAGCCACATTTGGGCGTTTATCAAGATGAATCAAAGGTTGGTAAGCTCCCCTTAAAGCTACAATGTGCATTTTGTACCTACAGCTTCAGCAGCCACTGTTTGCAGGCCTCGCCTACCGTTGAAGCAACCTCGCGTTAATTGAACTTGCCCACTTGGTGCTCTAATTTCTGACAGTCAGCTGCGCTCGAGCTACTGTGTCCGCACTCCTGAACGACAACTGAATTCAGCGCATTTATTCTGCAGCTTACGCGTTGCGACGTATACGATTGGGCATGTAACGTAATTGGGTAATTGGGAACGACATCACTGATGGCCATGCACTCTAAGCGTTGCGATTCAAGCAAAAGAGCCATGTCCGTCGTGACTAAAAAAATACACATAGAACGTGTCCACCTATAGGCCGCTTCTAGTTAGAGTGGCCTCCACCACAAAAACCTTATGAAATTAAACGACGTAATATACCTCACGTCATTCTACTTGGTCGCATCTGCACAGGGCGAGTAAAAACTGTGGCGTGGCAGTGCAAAATAGGAATGAATGCAGCATTAGAAGAGTTCAAAGAAACTACTAACTGATTTTCATGTGCACCATGAACTTCGTTCTTATGAGCAAATAGGTTATTCAAGGAACAAGTGCCTAGGTTCATCCTGCTGCTCACCCTTAGGTCGGGTTGAAGTATCAGGGGTGATATGAATGAAGGAAAGAAGGGAAACCTTAAGGGCTCGTTTTCGTTGTTAGAGAGAATAATAATGAAAACTGACCAACAATAATGCAAGGAAAGTATATAGAATGTTATAAAACTATTTGTATTGTAATTGTAATTATTCTGGATTGCGTTTCAACACTGCGCGAGTATTTCTTTTATCATCACCTCACTGTCGACGAAATTGCGCTAACTTGTCATTTCATTACAAGCTAAATCGCGGTATGGTATCCTGTCCTTTACTTCTCACTTAGGAATGACGCATAATTTAACCAGAAAGAAGTTCACCATTTCATGTAACTGCTAAGGCTTCTTGAATACGAGGTCTCAATACTGTTACCTGTCTTGATCATAATGTTTTTCATATTTCACAATAATTGTTTTATCTTTGCTCTGCTCTATCTTAAAATAGTTTTTTCCCAATCTACAGGCCTTCACTTTTCCGTCTTTCAGGAAGCCTTCCGCAGAGTTGTGTATATTACGAATTTATTTTCACGCTCAATCCATCATCATCGTCTCACATGTTTATTCTTCTCCTTTTGCACTCATTCACTTTTGTCTGTGCGCTTTCGCTTTTTTTATTTGATTTATTTTTCTGAAGACCGTCAATACTGTTTTGTTTGTGGTCATTGTTTCATATTTGCGTGCACCTGCACTAAGACTTGCCGAGGTTGCTCCTGGGCATCGTATATAAATGATTGACTTTGGTATAATGTTAACAATGTTAGCTAATAATATTGTCGATAATAATATTGCTCAATATGGCATTATGTGCATGTGCGGAAACAATGAGCTACAGTAGTCGTTTTAACCAATCTCAAAGATTTGCTTTCAAGAGAAGTGACTACACGAGCTTTTATCAACACTTGTGAGCCGCGGATTGGTCACGGGTTACTAAAACCCAAATGTTGATGAACAAGTTGAAGAGTTTACGGAGCTTGTGCTAAGTAGCGTGCATATGTTTATTCTGCAATATAAACTTAAACATTGTAAATATTTTCACTGGTTCTCCTCTGAACTTATAGGCGCCATGAAGCATGAAGGTCGCGCACATAAGAAGGCTAAATGTTCCACATTCAGCAAGTTGAAGAAGAGTTCAGCGTTTCCTGAACTCTCTCTAAATGCCCATACAAACTCGACCACTGTTCAGATATTGCTTCTTTTAGGGAAAATACCTTTCTGCCAGGTCAGCTTAGCCGTAGTCAAGCATAAGTGAGTCGCGGCTATCGGACTCAAACGGTGTCGAAGAGAGTGCCGTAGGTGCCTGTTTCGCCACCGATTTTGCATCACTTTATAAGGCCTCAGATTCTAGGACACAGACAGGACAGCATCGCAAGGCAATTAGTACATCTAGTGGTATGTCGCTAAATGAAACGCTCATCTGTCTATGCATTTGGCGCTTAAAACGTTCTTTATCGTACATGTGCACCGCATGTCATATATTCTTCCAATCTAGAGGATTATGGTAGTATATTTTTCCTAGTACTGACTACCATAATTAATAACTGTCTGAATGATTCCAAGTTTTCTAGCATGGGAAAACTTCCCGTGTATTCCTAGTATTCAAGCTGGGCTGCATAACTGGTCTTTCTCATTATCGCCTGATTTCTCTAGTTTGTGCCTCATCGAAGATCTTTGAGCTGGCTCTTCACAATACTGTCACGGCGTCGTGACGCTGACGAAAGGAGCAGACTTCACGTCGAAAATCAAACTGTTTATTCGAGCCAAACGTGTGGCCACGCAAAAGGAAAGTCAAAGTACAGCAGGACACTGGCACCTATAGCGGCGAACAGAGCATTGGCCGTCGGTCAATTGACAAGCGCCGAAGCGCGTCGGCACATACACACTTCCTATCGAATGCTCTAGCGTTATCGCTAGCAGTGACGTAGGTTCCAGAATAATATTGACACACCTCGACGGGCGCATGAAGAGGACAAGGTCGAAGCGCGTCTGGCTCACGAGCATCTTGCTCTCCTGTTTCTGCCTCTGAGCAGTACCTCTCGCAATCAATCCCTTCTGTAAATTAACGCGTTCCATCGTCACAGTTGTGGTGGAAAGTGTCACAAAACGAGCACTCAAAAACGGGCGCGCCGCCAAATTCTCGCGACGAAGCGCCGAGAGGTCAACGATAAAAAAAGAAAACAAGCATCCAAAGACTCCCCGGGCGCGCGTCCTTCTCTCCTCGGAAGCGTGGGTTCACCGACGAACCTCCTCTCATCGGCGCCCGAGCAAGCCTTGGAATGTTCTAGATGAAAAGGGGCGGGGTGATGCCGGGTTGCGTCATCCGTCGCGGACGGCCTTCGAACTGTCTCGCCCTCTCCCCAGCCTTCGCTGCGTATCGCGCCGACAAAATGATGAGAGCTTTCTGGAATCTCGCGCGGAAGGTATTTAACCGAGCAGCGGAGATGGGAGATCAGCAGAAGAAGGAAGTTTACGCCAGAGTGCGTAGAGTATCCCGCCGCGTCTGTCGGTGAAGGTTTTGTCTTTAGTGACAAAGCAGGAGAAGAATAAAGTATGCGCCAGAGTGCGTAGGGTGTACCGCCTTGTGGGCGAAGCCTTTGTCTTCCGTGACAAAGAAGGAGAAGAAGGAAGTGGAGAAGAAGAGGATTGCCACGTGAGGGGTGAAGACTCGAGCTACAGGCAAGAGTGTGTGTCTACCGCTATCGAGCGAAGACGCGCGGCAACAGCTGCTTGTGTGAAGCCGACGAAGACGCGCGGCAACAGCTGCTTGTGTGAAGCCGACGTGTTTCGGGCGAAGAAGTTTAAAGCTTGGAGAGCGGCCAATTGAAGACGCGAGGTTTCCTGGAAGAGAAACTTCGGGCGCAGCGGAACGACAACAACGCTGGACTTTGAGTGAGTGATTCTCGGAAGAGTATCATTCGTACTTTTGTTCCAGGACCTTTGGACTGAATGAGTTTTCTAACTCTTTAGTCTTTAAGTGTCTTGGTTGTTCGATGCATGCGACTGCATTGTAGTGCGTATTGTTGTCTGTGTCTGTTGTTTCGAGTGTGGCTGATTGTGCTGTGTAGTACGTTGTTTGAATGGTGACATACTGTATTCAACTATTGTCGAGTGTGCATACTTGTGTATTGTTTTGATCTGCCATAATTGAGAATATAATTTTGTTTTGTTTAGCAACTCTCGGCTCTGACTTGTTCTTTGGGCCACAGCCGGCGTCCGCTGGCGCGCCAAATAGGACCACTTCTAAATTGTCCACGCTTTCGTGGTGCGGTTCGGGGGGCCGATACTTCGGCCCTTGGAATTAGCCCGGCGATCGCCTCCCTAATTAACGGGACCTGTGACAATTATTCTGTCGTCCGCGATAAGGACCTTTTTGGTGCACGGTGTGTCCAAAGCAGTGAGAAAGAGCCTCGAGTTGTTGAGAGTGCTATCGGAACGATTTTGTGTGTTGTTCAGTGTTCTCGGTAACGAGTGCAGGAGAGCGTTCCGATAGACTGATTTAGGCAGATGCTTTTTACACGCGGCAAGGTTTTATTTGCGAGACATAATGTATCTCGAAAAGTTAGTCGCTCTTGGTGAGAAGATGGGTCTTTCTGGCGCCGAACTACGGAAGTGGGTCACCCAGAAGGAAAAAGAAGAAAAAGAGAGGGCCAAAGAAGAAAAGGCAGCTGAGCTGGAAAAAGAAAGGTTGGCGGTCGAAAGAGCCAAAGCGGAAAAATAAGCTGAGTTGGGGAGAGAGGGGTTGGCAGCTGAGAGAGGGAAAGAAGAATGAGAGCAGCAATTGACGTTGGAGCTGGAGAGAGAGAAGTTGGCAGCCGAAAGGGCGAGAGAAGAAAGAGAAGCGAGGGAGCCACAGCTCAAAGAAGAAAGAGAAGCGGAGATGGCTGAAAGGTAACGGCAGCGGCAGCACGAGATGGAGCTCGAGCAGCTCCGTTTGCAACAGCGAAGTGAAACTCCGGTCCAAGCTAGAGTTCAAAGCAGCGAAGTGGAGGACCACGGCTTCCGCTTGAACCCAAGCAAGCTGCTCGTAGCGTTTGATGAAAGGAAGGACGACCTTGACGCGTACCTTCACAGATTTGAGACGATGGCAAGGAACCAGAATTGGCCGGAACATCAATGGGCAATTGCTTTGAGTACTTACTTGAGTGGTGAAGCGCTCAGTGTGTACGGTAGGCTGACGCCGACCGATTCAGCCAACTATGCAAAGGTGAAAGCTGCTTTGCTGAAGCGATTTAGATTTACTGTGGAAGAAATTTGGGACTGATTTCGGACAGGAAAGCGAGCTGATGGTGAGACGGCTACACAATACGCCGCCCGACTTAGCCATTATTTCGACAGATGGATTGAACTTTCAGGGACAGCGCAGGAGTAC